CTCCCCATCGGCATCCCATCTGACTTAGAAAACCCTGGGCACACTTGACATGGCATCCCCCGTGACAGCCTATCTGAGTTAGAAAATCCCGGGCAGTTCTTTTGTGTCCATTTGTTTCCCGAACAGAAAGGTCAAATACTGGACTGTCCAGTTCAAAATCGGACACCTGGCAACCGTAAGGGGGCGTTGCCCATGAAAGCTCCTGCTAGTCCATATGTTAGTCTCTAAAGTGCCGCAGGACTACTCCTTTTTAAAGTTACAGCGGTGACCTCTCTGAAACATTAATAACCAAGCCCATAGCGCCATCCTGCAGGAGCCCGGCGTGATGGGCACATGGATTGCTCCTGACCCAATGTGCAAACACACTGGAGCAAGAATATATTACTATTTTGTATCAGTTTACTAATATGATATGTTCTCATAACATCTTCTGCCCTACAAGAGTCTGGTGCATTTTATAGAGGGAAGGATCCTAGCACTCATGTGCAGCTCCACTCTCCCCACTGGGGTAGATAAATAAGAATCTAACAGCCTCATACAAAAGCCCATAGCATGGTCTGTCTACCCAGAATGCTGTGTACAAGGATTGCTTACCAATCACTGAAGTCCAGCTATACCCCACAGTTAAGTAGGCAAGTAATTATTAATTAATATCATATGATGACTACAGACAAGTGACTATAAGTAAAGGCCTTTATTCAACACTTTATTCAACATTTCAGTGCTTTTCTGGATTGAGACCCAAATGTTGAATAAAGGCCAATATTCAAGCAGTCTTACTGACTGAATTAACTGATCAGGATAACTTGCATACAAGAGTTTTAAAGGAGCTGGCTGGGGTTGCTATTGGGAGCATTAATGTTGCTTTTTATGTCTTAGAACATTGAGGAAATGGAAAAAAGGAAACAGCCTGTTTACTTTTTCTAATTTTTTGAAAAAATATCTGCAGTGATTCAGGCCCATCAGCCTAACTTTGATCCCAGGCAAAATAAAGGAGTGACTGATAAAAGGCTCAACTAATAAAGAATTAAAATAAGGTGATATAATAAATGCCCATTAACATGGGTTTCTGGAAAATAATCTTATCAAACTAACTTGATTGATAAAGATAACACAGCTGATGTAATATTCTTAAGCCTCAGAGGGGGAGCCGAGTTAGTCTGTAACTGACTTAAAATAACAACAAATAGTTTAGTAGCACCTTAAAGACTAAGAAACATGTAGATGGTATCATGAGCTTTCATGAGCACAGCCCATTTCTTCAGCAGACAGGAGTGTTGGCAGTCCAGATCCAAGAATAAATAAGGGAAGGGAAAAAAATGGAAGGGAGGAAAACGAACACTTTAATCTTCCTGTATACTCATTATTCTTAGACTTCCATAAGGGATTTGAGTTAGGGCTCTACATCATTTTTGGTTAAGAAACTAGAATGATGCAAAATCAACATGACATATTAAATGGATTAAAAACAAGCTAACTGATACATGTCAAAACATAACTATAAATGACAATACATCATTGAGCAGGTGTATTTCTACACAAGGATCCCATGGGGTTGGTTCTTGACCATATGGTGTTTAAAGATTTTTATCAATGACCTGCAACAAAGTATAAAATCGCTGATAAAGTTTTCACATGACACAAAAAAATGGTAAAGTGTTAAATAACGAAGAGGACAGGTGATCTGGATTGTTCTGTAAGATGGGCACAGGCAAATAAAATGTATGGTTCTATACAGCCATCTGTAAAGTCATACATCTAGGAGCGAAGAATCTAGGCCATATTTACAGGATGGGATAAATTGAGGAGGATTCATGAAAGAGCCACGAGAATGATTAAAGGGCCGGAAAACATGCCATATAGTGACAGAGCCTGGGAGCGCAATCTCTTTAGCTTATCTAAGAGAAGGTTGAATTGTCTATCAGTACCTACATGCTAATGGGGGGAGGGCTCTTCTGTTTAACAGACAAAGGTCAAGTGGCTGAGGCTAGACAAATTCAGACTAGAAATAAGGCCTTTTTGTAACAAGGATTGTAATTAGCCATTGGAACAGTTTACCAAGGTTGCACTTCACCATCACTGCTTTAAATCAAAATTGGTGGCGTTTCTAAAAGGTGGTGTAGCTATCAATTTAAGGAAGGCCTATGGCCTGTGTATGCAGGAGGTCAAACTACATGATCACAGCGGTCCTTTCTGGCTTTGGAATCGATGAAGTTAAAGATGTAAGCATTTGCAGCACTGGCGCCTGAACCTTCTGTGACTTGCAGTCCTATAGGAGGTACAGTTGAGAAATATTTGGATCAGCTAAAAGGAAGGGTGATGCATGGGGGCACAAAGGGGCATGTGGCCCCCCCCCCAAATGCCATGGGGGGAAGGGCAAGGGGCAGGTGGATGGTTCACCTGCCTCCCAGACTCAACGGTGGCAGGAAGCAGAGCGACCCAACCCCAGGCCTGGAGGTGGTGTGGGTGCAGGATGAGGTGTGATGAAGCAGGAGATGGGGTGGGAGCAGGATGGGGTGGGAAGACGTGGGGCCCTCCTATGGATTTGGAGTGGCAGGGAGCCACCAGAGGAGGCAGTCATGTGGCCTTTGCTCCCCTCCTGTCCCTCCCCAGCAGTTGCCACTGGCAAAAAGGTCTGTTTACAAGCAGTAATTATGCAAAGGGTCGGATATGATACACAGTACAGAACTGTGGATAAAACAGTGTGGGGTGATGCACCTTAAAAATAAGCTTTGTGTAGTAGTATAGATTGTCACCCTTCAACATAATTGCCGAGACTAAGGGCTTGTCTACACATACAGCGCTTCAGAGGCTTAACTGTACCATGTATGGGGAAGATACTTTAGGTCAATGGGAGCTCTGCGAGGGTTGGCAGCTATGTTGCCAACACTCGTGTCGCTCAAAAAAAAAGAACACATTATCCTGACATAAGCTGCAGTGTAGAGATAGCCTATATCTAGAAAGAAAGAAAGGATCCAATGCTTCAAGCATGTATTCCCCGGAATAGCTCATACTACTGTGATTTCAGTGGGACTGTCTGTGTTAGAGCAATC